GGCCCCGTGAAAACCCGCGGGCCCCCCCCCCCCCCCAGCAGACCAGGGACACCCGAGCAAAGCCACAGCCTGGCTTTGCTTGGGTGTCCCTGGTCTGCTGGGGGGGTCCAGCGCTTTGCTGGACCCCCCCAGAAGACCAGGGGGACAGGAGCAAAGCCGCTCAGGCGGCGGGGGTCCCGCTGCCTGGGCGGCTTTGCTCCCGGGCAAACGAGCAAAGCCGCCCAGGCGGCAGCTTTGCTCAGGTGTCCCTGGTCTGCTGGGGGGGAGGGGGCGCAGCTAGTGCGCCCCTCCCCCCCCAGCAGACCAGGCTTTTGTTGTGGATCCTGGGGTAGAGCAGCTGGGGTGCTGCCGGGTTGGTCCTGCAGGAACCTACCTGGCAGCCCAGCTGTTCTGTCCCAGGCTCGGGATTCAGCCGCTGTTGAAACTGATCAGTGGCTGATTCCAGTAAGCTGGGGGCAGAGCAATTCTGCCTCCAGCTTCCTGTAGTCAGCCCCTGATCAGTTTCAGCAGCAGCGGCTGAATCTGGAGCCAGTTCCGACTTACATACAAATTCAACTTAAGAACAAACCTATAGTCCCTATCTTGTGCGTAACCCGGGGACTGCCTGTATTCCCAAAGATGGGCTGAGAGTTCATGATCGTGCCGGGCGCAGAACTGTTCTCCCTAAGCCAGCATCATCTTGGGCATGCTGGGGAAATGGGTAACGAGACATAGAGATGTAGATTGGTGACAGCTAGAGACCCTCAGACATTGTGAGTTGGCGCATGAACCAACAGGAAGGCCTGCTCCCTCATGAGTGCACGTTTACCGTGGCTGGTGGAGGATCTTTAGCCAGATCATCCTACTAACAGAGACAATGCAGGGTATGAACCCAGATGAACCCCTCTGAGTAGGAGTTCCAACCTCTCTGCCAAGGCCACAAACAACTGTGTTAACTTGTGACTCATTCTAGTCCTGTCGGAATTTGTTTTATTTAATCGTTCATTTACTGTGTGGTATTATGAATGTGCTATAGCATAAATGTTCACGTGGGTGTGTCTAGACTATATACCTCTGGCACCAGAGGCATGTAGATTAGGCTACCCAGCATAGGAAAATGAAGCGGAGATTTAAATAATCACCGCTTCATTTAAATTAAAATGGCTGCCGCGCTGTGCCGATCAGCTGTTTGTCAGCTTAGCACGGTAGTCTAGACACTCCGCAGTCAACATAAAAGGCATTTGTCGACCTCCCCGTTATGCCTCGTGGGATGAGGTTTACTGGGGAGGTGGACAAATGCCTTTTATGTTGACTGCGGAGTGTCTAGACTACCGTGCTAAGCTGACAAACAGCTGATCGGCACAGCGCGGCAGCCATTTTAATTTAAATGAAGCAGTGATTATTTAAATTGCCACTTCATTTTCCCATGCCGGGAAGCCTAATCTACATGGCTCTGTTGCCAGAGGCATGTAGTCTAGAAACACCCTGTATAGCAATTAGAGTTAATTTGTAGTATTAAGGAAGTACAAGGCAAGTCATCCTAACTATGAACTATGCTGGAGATATGAGTCACAGATGCTGAAACTCAAGAACGTGGGGGTTAAGGCCTGCACAATTTCAGTCAAGCTATTTTAGGCACTGGAGACAGGACGTGATGACATGTGTGACTAGAATACGTCCCGATGCCTTAAGATTACAAAAAAGAGGCACTAAGTGACAATATTGCACAATTTTACCCCAAAGTATTAATATTAGATCTTAAAAATCCCATACAGGCCCATGTGTCTCAGACACGTGTAGCTTGGCTCTGTGTCGATGCTAGTGAGAATAAAGAGAACATACCCATCCTAGATATAATTGATGTCTCTCCTAACTTTCCTGGGCTCACAGATCAGCCAGTGACAAGAGGCTCCAATGGGCCTGCAGAGAGGAGGCCGGGGAGACGCCTCAGGACTCAGCAGGGAACGTAGGCCAATGTGCATGGGCTGAACTCTAAGGCTCCCAGGCCATTGGATAGGCAGCTTATGGGTGGGATGTGTGTATGTGTAGGTGGACACTACTCAGGGGGAGGAGAAGGGAGCAGACGGCCAGGGGGGGTCTATGTGCTGCCACCCCCTATTTCCCTGCATGCTGTGGTTGCCCCCAGAAAACCACAGCTTGCTTGGCAAAGACAGTGTGGGATGGGGGCCACCACGTAACCACCTACCAGGAGTGCTCCTGAGCCCCCCAACTGGGAGCTTCCCAAGACACACACACACACACACACACACACACACACACACACACACACACTCCTTACCATGAGCCCTCCTCCCCCACACACCTCAGTCCCCTGCATGGGGTCTCTCACACACTTCAACCCCCTGCCCACCCTACCCCCTACCTCCCATATCTCAGCCCCCTGCATTCCACCGACTTCTGAGAGCTACTGTCATATTGCGCCCCCTCAACCTTGAGCCTCCACTACCTGGGCCGGGCTGCGATACGATAGTACCTGTCAGAAATGTAAGTCCCTGAGAGCAAGCCCCACACCCCTACATGCTGGGGTTCCCCCCCAGCTGCTGTGGCCCCTTTCTCTCTGGAGTGGCGCACTGGGTCGCCCCACCCTGCTCTCTGTCATGCTCCCCCGCAGGCGTGCGGCCGGTCACTGGACGTGAGCAGTTACCCACCCAAAACGGCCTGAAGAATCTGAAAGGGTTTGTAGAGTTCTACCAACCCTCTGTGAAAAAGAGGAGACCAAGTGGGAGATATGAGAGACCAGAGGTTCCCAAACCGTGGTCTGTGGACCCCTGGTGATCCGTGATGGTACTGTTGGGGGTCTGTGGAAAGTGTAGGAAAGGAAAAGAAAAGTAAGGAACAGCCCCACCTGGGACTGGGACTTGCCATGAGACGAGTCTCGCCCTGGGCTGGCCATTGGCGACCAGACATTTGCATGCTGCCTCCCACCCTCGGGATAGGATACCCCAGGAGGCACCATCCCTCCTTCACTGCCATCTGCACTGCCTGCTCTGTGACAGCCCTCTCCCCCAATCCCATGGTGGTCTCAATCCTTACTTTCCTTTTCCTTCTTATCCATGGCCGGCCAGGAGTGGAGTGAGGGACAGAAGATGCCTTTTGCCATAAGAACCTCCTCACCGTAACTTCCATGGATGAGCAGAGGATGGAGAGGGCAGGAACTGAGGAAGCAGTGGAGGCCAAGGGACATGTTGGCTGCTGCTTCCTGCCGCTTCCCAAAGCTCCCCTTTGGGGGGGGGGGGCTGTAATGTTTAAACAGATTGAAAAGGGGTTCGTATGCTAGAAAAGGTTGAGAACTGCTATGACAGAGGTCTATAAAATCACGACTGGTTTGGAGAAAGTGAATAAGGAAAAGTGAATTACTTGTTCCCATGATATTACAACTAGGGGTCATCCAATTAAAATAATGGGTGGCAAGTTTAAAACAAACAAAAGGAATTTTTTTTATGCAGCGCACAGTCAATCTGTGGAACTCCTTGCCAGAGGATGTCATGAAGACAAGAAATTTAAAAGGGTTCAAAAAATAGATAGATTCACTGAGGTTAGGTCCATCAATGGCTATTAGCCAGGATGTGTAGGAATGGTGTCCCTAGTCCCTGTTTCTCTGGAGGTGGGTGACAGGGGAGGGATCACATGAGGATTCCTTGTTAGGTTCCCTCCATCTAGGGTACCTGGCATTTGCCACTGTTGGCAGATAGGACACCGGGTTAGATGGACCTTTGGTCTGGTCCAGTCTGCCGTTCTTATGTTCTTACAGACGTTTGCAAGTGCGTGAGCCTGAGTATGCCCTAGCTGGAAGTGAGTACACTTTTGTATTGTCTCGTTTGTGTCAAACATGGTCAGATGGCCTTGTAGCCATGGATTTGTTCCCAGGCACTGCCTCTTAGTTACCCGGTGCCTCAATGAGCCTCACAAAGAATCTAGTTAATCTAGCTCAAGACCTGTCCCTGACTTGTACCACACACAGCTGTGATTAGTACTTGTGCGGTGAAGTAGCTATAGGAAAGCCCACCTCGGGGAAGGGGAGGGGTGAGGCATCTAGTATCGGCACTAGCTGGCTGGGACTAGGGACCCATGTGACCTGAGTGACAGGCACTGGGCCTGAACGATGACCATTGACTGGGAAAAATCACTTGGATGTGCCTGATCCATGAGCCATTAACAGTTCCTCTTCATACCTCTTTTTTATTAAACCTTCCGTTTGCAGTTAAAGGTCTCCCCACAGATCGGTTCCCCAGTGAGTTACACGGGCACAGCGCAGTAAGGCCATGGAAGTGTTGACTTTCTCTATGAAGGCCCAGTGCGCAATACAAGGAAGCAGGCCCTGTACCACGTTACCTACCACTTCTCCGTCAGCTCTGTCTGACAGCCACAGACACGGGGAAAAAAGTTGGCTCCTGTCTGAGTAAAGAGCCGGAGTATCCGGCCCCGTATATATTTGATCCTCATCCCATAGATGATGGGGTTTAGCACGGGGGGCACTAGCACATGCACATTGGCCATAAGAATGTGGAAATGCAGGGCCATGTTGTGGCCAAACCGATGCATGAGAGCAGAGAAAATCATGGGGACGTAAAAGGCCATGATGGCACAGAGGTGGGAGCTACAGGTTCCAAAAGTCTTCAGCCGGGCGTCCTTTGTGGGGAGTCTGAAGATGGCCCTGAGGATCTGGACGTAGGATATGGCAATGAAAAATATATCCACAACAAGCAGAAATAAGACCACAAATAGGCCGTAGTAACTACTGATGTGCGTGTTGGCGCAGGCCAGGTTCACCACAGCTGTATGCCCACAGTACGTGTGAGGGATGACAGTAGTTCTGCAATATGGCCACCGACTTGCAAGGAAAGGATACGGTAGTACAAGCACACAGCTGCGCAGCACCACGGCCAGGCCAATCTTGGTGACTCTGGTATTTGTCAGGATAGTGGAATGTCTCAGGGGATGGCAGATGGCCACGTAGCGATCCAATGCCATGGCCACAAAGATCCCAGATTCCATCAATTGGACAAAGTGAATAAAGTACATCTGGGTGAGGCAGGCACTGAAATTAATCTCCCTGGAGTTGAACCAGAAGATTGCCAACATTTTGGGCAGGACGGACGTGGACAGGACCAGGTCGGCGACGGCCAGCATGCAGAGGAAATAGTACATGGGCTCATGGAGGCTCGGCTCCCTCTTCACAATGAACAGGATGGTGAAGTTCCCCAAGATTGCTACGACGTACATGGTGCAATAGGGGATG